GGGGGGGGGGGGGGGATGCCCCAAAAGCTGGGTTGTGGAACTAGGTCAGGTTTTCCCCCCCGCTCGGGGCTGTGCGGGCGGGCAGGGCTGTGCAGCGCTGGCTGCAGCCCCCCGGGACCCCCGCCGCCGCGCTCATTGGCAGGCCGGGCAGAGGGATGATGTCATCTTCACTTAAAGGCAAAACTAGAAGGAAATAGAATTTTGTTCCCATTATTGAGCTCGTGTTTACAGTAGTTGTAAAATATGGCATCCGCGCCAAAATCTTTAGCGGATTGGATTTCATGCACAATGCAGCGGGTTTAAAATGCGGTTGGGAGATGAATATCTGCCCGGTTAAGCCGAGGGATGGAGTTTATGTGCTATCGGTGTGCGTGCAGGCAGGGAGAGGTTTCCTTTAGCTGGGTGGGTTTTCTTTTCTCCTTGGTAGAAATTGTGATGGTGATCACTGTAATACAGGTAACACTGCGTGAAAGTATTTGGGGGTTCGTTGCTGCTGAAGATTTATCAGTGTGGCGTTCTAGTTGATGTTTAAGATGCTTCTGAATACAATTTGGTGAATTATCAGGAAAGAAGCAGTACAGTCGTATGTAAGGGAAGCTGACATATCCAGCCTATTGTTCAGTATTGGAGGAACAGTAAAAGAAACAGCTACTTGTATAGCCGGTGGGAGTGCATTTTAAAAACCCAAAGTAATTATCTAAAATTCTGTCAGCTTTTAAAAAAATCAAATAGACTTTGTGTTTTCAAATTTTGCAAGTGCAGGAATGAAGTTCAGATTTTCCTTCATGTTTAATTACAAATTAACCCCAGTAGAATGAAGCCTGCTTGCATCTATTATTATTTTTGTTGTCTGATAGAGGGTAAGTAAATTCAGGCATCGATACCAATTCTTTTAAGACAGTTTGGAAGGTGCTAGGGGAAGGTTTTTCCTTAGTTAAGGCACAAGTCCCATCATAACTTGGGTTATATGCTGGGAAGAATTCAACTTCTGGATGACTGCTGGAAGAAGCCTGTGGTTTACGATGGAGTGGGGTGTCCTCTTGGGGCAACTTGGCTTCCAAAATGTTGGAAGAAGAACCAATCTTCTTCCACGTGCCCCTTGGCACGGTCGATGGAAGAGAGCTTTCTGGGGATCGCCTCAAACTACCCAATTCAGTATTCAAGAATAAGCGAATAAACAAACAAAAAGGGATTTTTTTTTTTTTTTTTTTTTTTTTTTTTTTTTTTTTTTTTTTTTTTTTTTTGGGCCCTTGCTGCCACCAGGCCGCTCTTGGAAGCTCCTCTTCTGTCCAGGAGGTTTGGCCAGCAAGGGCTAGTTTGGTTTTGGAGAACTACCCCTGAGTCTGATGCAAACTGGGAATAATGAGATACATGGCGATGAAAATTCTTTCCAAAGAGAGGAAAACGGAAACGGTGAGTGCCCCTTCTTGCAGATGAAGTAAATGATCCCGAGTACTGAATAATGGCTTTAACAGAGCCAGCACCCTCTGTCCCCCTCCCTTTCTCTTCCGTGCGTTCCTCCCTGCTTGTAGCACAAGTCATTTGCCTTCTAGGAATTGAAAGCATCGCGGCAGTCCCGGCTCAAAGGTGCGGGATCTCGTAGGTGCTTCCTCAGAGCAGCTCTCCAGCAGGCTGGGCTGCCATCCAAGATACTAAGCTGCTTGCAAATATTTCAGTTTTTAGTTGCAAAAAACTAAATTGACGACTGCAGAATTAAGGCAATTTTGGTTATAAACAGAATTAGTCTTGATTGGGGGGGGGAAAAAAACCGTACGCAACCAAAACTTTGAACGTGGTTTCAAAACCATTAAAATGATGAGGATTCTAAACATCACCTTTCAATGAGAAATTTACTTCTCATTCTAGACAGAAACCTCCTAATGAGTATATAGGATGAGATAAAAATGTTGAGGCTCTCGTGTGACATACGTACATGAAAGCAGAAATTATTTTATTGTGAACTGATTATGGGTGTGAATGCATGTGAACGTCTGCAGATATTTTACTTATTTCTAAATCTGGATGCAGAGATGAGAAATAAACACCCTAAATACTGTCGAAAGTGTTAGCAGAGACATGAGATTCATTTAAAAAAAAAAAAAAATTAGAAAAAGAAGAATCTTCAGAGTTAGAGTATATGCATTAATAGGTCCTAAAATGATATAAAATGTACTGTGGAGCAGGGGTGTTTTGCTGAGCAGTTGTTGTACCGATATGTGTGTTTATATTAGGTCAATAAAGATGCTCTGCTGGCTGCATCTGCAGATACAGTAGCCAATTGATCTAATGCAGTTTCTAAAGGCTTTCTATACAGGTGATGTCATCCTTTTAGCTCGGTTCCCCTCCCACTCTCTTTCCTCCTTATTAGATATTTCATCTTGCTGCGGAGCATCCAATCGATGGGAGCTTCTCCTGAGGGAGCTGCTGAGAAGCAAGCAAAGATAGTAGGAATTAGGACTCCAGCAGTCTTGCTGTAGCCATGGACGTACTGTTTTGTTGTGCATTACAGAAATGTTTTAATTGGAAAAGCTAGGCGTGGATTAACCGTGGTGTCTGACTGATGCATTAGAATACTAAGCAATACTGCAGAGTTGTAAACTGCATTAAAAAGAGAAGGAGGGGGGGGGGGGGGGG